TACGACATGGACACCTCTTACTACGTCCCTCTGTGCTCCACTGATCCGGACAGCCACTATGATCTGGACTCCGACGAGCACGGGAAGTACATCGAGCTTTGCTTCACAGCAGACATGTCCAAAGTCGTCCTGTCCGAGCAGCAACACCGATTGTTGGATGACAGCAGCGTCACAACTATGCGAGTATATGTTAGTGCTGCCTCCAAACGTGCCGTGGTCGTCAAAGAAGACGACCTACTCACGAAGGCCGACATTCAAGCGAATCCGGTCAAAGTTTCCAAAGCCCTTTACACAGAATTGAAGACTTGGCTTGACAACAAATGCTTCCAGATGACTGACTTGAGCAAAGCGTCGAACATCATGACTTCACGCTATGTATACAAATGGAAGTTTGTCAAGAACGAGAAGGGCGAAATGGAACGGACGATCAGGTTACGCTTGGTACTTCGTGGCTTCATGGACATTGAAGCCTTCGATGTCGAAACCTTCTCTGGCACGGCAAGGAGGTCAAACCAGAGATTGCTCGCAAGTTCTGCTGCATGCAACAAAGCTTGGATCATCGCTCCCCTGGACATCAACATGGCTTTCTTGAAGGGACTGACCTATGGCGAGCTCGCCGCGGCAACTGGCGAGAAAGAGCGTGTGGTGTGCTTCACACTACCTCCTGGGTCAGCAGCTGTCCTTCGCACATTGCCAGGCTTTGAGTCATATGACGAATCAAAGCATTGTCTTCGGTGCCTCAAGCCGGGGACTGGCACGAAGGATGCCCCCAGGGCATTCTCGCTGAAGCTCAGGTCCATCACCAGGAGCTTTGGACTACAGCCTACTTCATACGATGAAGAGTTCGAGATGAGTTCAAACCTCTTGACAGCCAAACACGTTGATGACATCAATATGACTGGGAAGGAAGATTCCATTGACAAGTACGTCAAATGTGTTGAAGATACGTTTGGAAAGTGCAAACTGAACAAGCACACATACACAAATTGTGCCGTTCGGTACAACAAGACCGATGATGGGAGCGTCACTCTTGATCAGGACGAATACATCAAACAACTTCGTCCTATCACACATCCAGAGCTCACAGGCGCTGATCCTGAGAGCAAAGCGACAAAGACGATTTCTGATATGTTCGTCAGTCTTCGTGGCGCTCTAGCCTATGCGTTGATCACGCAGGTATGGCTGATGGTCTATGTTGTTTCACTGCAACGTATCCAGGAACCGACAAACATCCAGGTACGACGACTGAACGCGGTTACCAGGAAATTGCAGGCAGGTCCGAAGAAGATCGTGTATCAAGCTATGACTCCAACAGGAGAGGTCGACCTGCATAGCGATTCTGGCTATCGTCGTCTCAACGGAGATGAAGACGACGAAGTCAAAGGCTACGGTATCCGCGGGGCTAACCTGCTGAGGCGTGGCCACGCGCAAGCGGGGAAACCCGTCGTGCACCTGGTGGACGCATACTGCAAGTCTCATCGACTGCAGGTGCGTTCGAGCTACTCTGCGGAAACACTGGCAGCAGCCCACAACTTGGAAGACTGCTACCCGACCATTGCAACGCTCCACGAGCTACACTCGGGACCATTGACCCCCACACAGTTGAAGAACATATTGGAAATGGGTGGTCTATGTATCAAAGTCACTCTGACTATTGATGCCGAGTCTGTCTTCAAGTCTTTGTCTAGCAAAGATCTGAAGAAGCCCACAGAATGTACTCTGCTTGGGCACATCAGCTGGATCCGCCAGATGATGGAGCGCGGAATCGTTGAAAGCGTCCAATGGTGTGACACGCGGGATATGACTGCCGATGGTCATACCAAAGGTAGTATTGACCGCGCGTTGCTCCTACAAGTAATGGCCGGTCAGCAATCCTTCAAGCACGAGCTGAAGAAACATACTCCGTATAGGGCGGGCAGGTCGTCTCAGGACGGCCCTGCCTCCCGAGCTAGCGGGGAAACCCGCGCGCAGGTGCGCTTTAGTAGCGAGGAAACTCGCCGGTAGCGAGGCTACTCGCGCGCCCTTGCCTTGTAGGCAGCCGCTGTTGCCTAGCACTGTTTTTTCCGCGTAATGTAGAAATTCGGTGCTTGCTCGTCTCCTCCCCCTCCAACTTTAAACGGAGAGGGTTAAAGGCGAGATGTAAATCGAGCATGCACCGCTGCCGTGCCTGGCTCAAGCCGGGCCCGGCCGAACATGTGATTGTGCCTCACCGAGGCGCACTACTCGCATCTGAGATCGGAAAAGACCTTTCTATTGAAGATGCCCCTTCTATCCTTCACTCCAGATCCCATGTTTCATCTTGCTCTCTTGCTCATGTGGTATGAGCCAAAGCCTGGGATATGGGAGCGCCTAAGGCGGAACATATATCTTGGCTTACCAGTGCGTTTTCGACTTCCGCAGCAGGTACAGCATTCCAGGCTCACCTTCAGCTTTCCCCAGTTGCGCTGCGCCACGGCTCACGACAGCTTAGCCTTTCTGGCTAGCTCAAGTCGTCCGGGCGTTTGGAGCCTGGCGCCCCAGTGGCGACTCACCCCAATGGCCTTTCACTTGCCCCCACTCAGCACGACGGACTTGACCATCCTGGTTTACGTCTCTACTGTGTGGGTCGTGCCATGGCACGCTGAATTCCGTGACACTTTTTGTCCTGTGCACGCGTTCGAGCTCTCAGGATGCCGTCCGCCGTCAGCTCCCCCTTTCAGCTTCGCGGCTGCTGTGTGAGTGGGCCGGCCAGCCGGTGCCTATTGTAGCTAATTAGCTTAGCTCGCGTCCCGGACTTTGCTCTTGCCGCCTGACCTCTGTCTCGCGGCCGCGACCAAAAAAACATCCCCACCAGCCCATCCACAATCGATGCGTAGGGAAGCTGACGGAAGAAGGGAAGCAGAGACGCTCATAGTGAAACCGAGCGGCGATAACGGCGGTTAGGCGGAGGAGGAGGGCGAGCAAAAATGCCAGAGGTCTCTTGAATGCCTTTCGGAGCCTCTTGGGATATCTCTTGGGCGCTTCTTGGAGGCATCTTGGGACGTCTGGGGGGTCTCTTGGCGGTCCTGGGGGGCTCTTGGGCGTTTTGAGTGCGTCGGGGGGGGCCTTTTGGAGGCCTCCTGGAGGCCTCTTACGGGCCATCTTGGCGCCTTTGGGGGCCTCCTGGGCGCCTCTTGGGGCCATTTTGGAGGCGATCGATCAAAGAAGGGGGGTTCCCCAGTTAGCACCGCCCCTCGGGAGCCTCAAAAATAGCCTCCTGGGCCCCTTCTTGGGGCGCTCTTGGAGCGCTCTTGGGGCCGTTTTGGGGCCCTCTTGGGCCCCTCTTGGTGCTATATTGGGCCCTCTTGGAGCCATCGTGGGCCTCGGAAGCCCATCGGAAACGAAACGTCGAGAAGGCAAAAACCATTGGTTTTCCTTAGGTTGTTGAAGGATTTGAGCCTCTTGGAGGACTCCTTGGGGAGCTATTTAGCCTCTCGGAGCCGTCTTGGGGCGGTCTTGGGGCCTTTTGGAGCATTTTCAGAGCCATCTTGCAACTTGGCCCTTCTTGAGCCATCTTGGAGGTCATCGTGGGCTTGCCGAGGCGCTCTTGGAGCCGTCTGGGGCCATTTTGGGCGCTCCAACGCGTCGCCGCGCCCCCCGTCCAGGTCCAGGGGCGGGGGTAGGGGAGGGGTCAAGTTACCCCCTCCCCGCCCGCAAGCCGTCTCGCTCACTCCCACCCGCCCTCCCAACACATACGTAGTACCCGAGTCTGGCCCGAGCCCCAGCATATTCAGCAGTCGTCTTGGGATGGGGAGCTACTGGGGGCTAATCCGCCGCCGCCGCCGCTGCCTCCGCCGCCGCCGCCGCCGCCGCCGCCGCCGCTGCCCGCCGCCGCCGCCCGCGCCCGCCGCGCCGCCGCCTGCCGCCGCGCCGCCGCCGCCGCCGCCGCCCCCGCTGCCAAACCGCCGCCGCAGCCGCAGCCGCTGCGCCACCCCCGCCGCCGCCGCCGCCGCCGCCGCCGCCGCCGCCCCCCCCGCCGCCGCCGCCGCAGCCGCCGCCGCCGCCGCCGCCGCCGCCAAGTGTACTCTGTATTGTTTTTTGACAGGGATGGTGGGGGGGCCGCATCGGGTTGGCTGCGCATGTTCCGAATTTGGAGGCAGAGTGTGTTGTGTGTTGTTTTTTACAAGGGATGGTGGGGGGGTGTCGGCATGGACTCGGGTTGGCCCCCAGTCGCCTAGGGGAGGGGGTGTTTACTAATAGGGAACAGTGATAAACCCCCGAAGGAGAAGAAGGAGGGGTGGAAGAGGAAACTCCCTAAACCACCTACGTACGTCCAAAGGGCTGGTGGGATTTTTCGTCCTGAGCCGGTCTTGGACGGTCCCAATGCCCAGCGAAGGCCATCGGAGGCCGAACACAGCAAAAACCCGCCGCCCCAATTGTTGTCGGAGTGCCGGATATTCCTGGCATCGCTCGGACGTGTGCATTTTTTCTTCGGCGAGTACCATCGAGGAGCATCCTTGACTATTTGGCGAAAAAACCACGCGCGAAACCGAAAAAAACACAGGGAATGGACGTCCGAGCGATGGCGAGTAGTTGGGTCCCCTAAGAAATAAGTATGTCGACTACGACGGAGGCCCTCGTAATGACCCCACCCTGGTCCCCCGAGCATAGCCCAGCCACGTGCAGAGGGAGGCGGGGGGAGGGAGGGCCTCTTAGAAGCGCCCCTGCTTCTTGGAGGGCGCGGGCGTCGTCTGTAGATGTAGGGCCAGCACCTGCTAAGGAGCAGCCTCCTTCTCAGAAGCCTTCCCCCCCTCCCCCCTACAATCGGGGCCCTGACTAAGGAACCCTATTCGTTGGGGAGGGGCTCCGTGTTCCTTGATTGCTTCACAGTTTGCCTTGGGTTTTGCTTTGGTTTTCGATGGGACATCGAAGTTGAACTTGTGGGAAAAGGGGCCTCGTTCCTTATTTAGGGTTCCTTAGGTCGACGCCTCGACTGTACCCCCTTTGTGCGCGCCGCCACATGGCACGCTTATCCGCGCCAGGGCACAGCAGCCCGCTGCGGCCCGGGGCGCCCAGGAGGCCCGCCCGGCGGGCGGGAGCTGGCGGGAGGGCACTGGTTGAGGGCACGGGTCGTCCTCGTCTTCGTCTTCGTCCTCGTCTTCACCGTCGTCTTCGTCGTCGTCGTAGTCCAGCTGCCTGCGGCCCGTCCCGCCACCGTGCCTGAGTTGTGGCTTCGATGCACACTTTCCCCGGCGATGATGAAGTTCGGACCCGCCGCCCCTCTCTCCCGACCAACGTCTTGGCCTGGGATAATCAACTCTCAGGTCGTGGGGGGGGGGGGATGCTGTATCATCGCGGGTGCTCGGTTATTGAATGTTCGTTGAGATCCTCTTGGGAGCCGTTTTAGGGCCATTGTTGGGGCCGCTTCTGGGCCTCTTGAGCAAGGAAGTTGCTCTTCCCAGCCGTCCTGTTGTGTGGGGTCCTCGTTTTGAAGAGAGAGCGCCCCGCCTCTCCTCCTTCCTTCCTCCTCCATATCATCATCATCATCATCATCATCATCATCATCATCATCATCATCATCATCATCATCATCATCATCATCATCATCAGAAAGAGCGCGTTCTGTGGGGCGCTTGGAGAGGGGGGGGGTCGACCCCCCCCAGGGCATGCGCCGGCGTGGGCCTGGGCCTAGGTCTGGGCGTGGGCGTGGGCGCGGGCGTGGGCGTGGGCGCGGGCGTGGTGAGCGTTGGCGTGGGCGTGGGCGCGGGCGTGGGCGTGGGCCTGGGCGTGGGTATGGGCGTGGGCGTGGGCGTGGTGAGCGTTGGCGTGGGCGTGGGCGCGGGCGTGGGCGTGGGCCTGGGCGTGGGTATGGGCGTGGGCGCGGGCGTGGTGAGCGTTGGCGTGGGCCTGGGCGTGGGTATGGGCGTGGGCGTGGGCGTAGGCATGGGCGTGGGTGTGGGCGTGGGTGTGGGCGTCGGCGTTGCCAGCCGCCGTCGCCGCCGCCCCCGGCGCCGGCGCGCCAGGGCCAGAGCTGGGGGGGGGGGGTTCGACCCCTTTCCCCCCTTTTTCAAACGCCCCGCCGAATGTTCCCAAAGCAAGCGCCCGTTACACGCGCTCCCTCCATCATCATCATCATCATCATCATCATCATCATCATCATCATCATCATCATCATCATCATCATCATCATCATCATCATCATCATCATCAACATCAACATCAACATCAACATCAACTCATCATCATCATCATCATCAGCAGCAGCAGCAGCAGCATCAGCATCAGCAGCAGCATCATCATCAGCATAATCATCATCATCCTCAGCAGCAGCATCATCATCAGCATCATCATCAGCAACGTCATCATCAGCATCATCATACTCAGAATCAGATTCATCATCAGTATCATCATCAGCAGCAGCATCATCAACATGATCATCATCACCAGCAACAGCATCAGCATCAGCATCAGCATCAGCAGCATCGTTCTAGTCTTCCTCATCATCAGCATCAACAGCATCGTCCTCAACATCACCAGCCGCATCATCATCAGCATCATCAGCATCATCAGAATCACCATCACCATCAGCATCATCATCATCATCCTCATCCTCATCCTCATCCTCATCCTCGTCATCATCAGCATCAGCATCAGCATCAGCATCATCGTCATCATCATCATCATCGTCGTCCGCGGCGGTGGCGGCGGCAGCAGCAGCATGGCCGTCATCATCACCATCATCGTCATCATGTGCGCTGTAGGCGGTTCAGCCCCCGCTACAGCAGCACGCGCACCTCCGCCGACGATACCGTGGGGTTGTGGCAGACTACGTTCCGACGCCCGACGTCCAAGGTGGCCGCCGTCTCGTTTGTGGGATCCGCCGCCAGGGCGGGCGCGACCAGCGCCAGCCTCTCGACGACCTCGGGGACCTCTGCGCGCAGCAACATGTCCGACTTGCCGTCCAGGGCGGTGTGGCCCTCGCGAGCGCCCTCGACGTCGTCGGCCGTCACCACGAGGACGTGCGAGCAGCCAGCCGTGCCAGCGCGAGGGAGACTGCCCACCGCATGCGCAGCGGCTGCACCAGGGCCCCTCGGAGCCGCAGACCTCTTGCGCGGCCGCGCGCGCCGCGGGCCATGGCCACGCAGCCGTGGCCACCGCCATGGCTGGCAGCCGGCGCGTGGCCATGGCCACCGCCCGGAGGCGCGCGCGCCGCGCCTCGAGGTCGGCCACGCCGCGACGGGGCCGCCTGCCGCCGCTGGGCTGCTCCGCCGCCACAGGTCGGGTATGGCCAGGACCCCGGGGAAGGGGACCCCTTCAGTGGTAGGGCCCTGGGGCCCTTGAATTGGCCAGAATCACTAAACCAGGTTTGCCGTAGCTGGTGTTTTTCGGGTGACGGCAGTTCCGGTTAATGGAAATGGGGCGGGGGCGCGCCCCCAGTACAAATCACTAAACCAGGTTCCACTAAACCCAGTTCTGCCAACGCCCGAACAGGAGCGGCATGGCAGCCGACCTCACCAAACGACCCAAGCTGTCGATCTCGGCCTCCCACGGGGCCAAAGCGAGGGCGAGCAGACGAGGACGGCTTGAGCCAAAACGGATACGGAGCCGCTGGGGCCGTCGGTGGAGCTCCCTATGGGGCCACGATGCGTGTGAGAGGTGTGCCAAGTCAGATGCGGGTGCGCCATGCGTACTGTACCACTCTGGCTTTCGGCGGAGCTCCCTATGGGACCAACGCGCGGTTTCCAAGATTATGACCTGGATACGCCGGGCCAAAGTAAACATGATACACCACAGGATCTTAAAGCTAATCTACAAGTCGGCAGGAGCAAGATTCACCGTGCAATTTCGGCGACAACCCGCTGGCCAGCGCCCGCACCTACCGTACCAGAGCTGAGTGGGACACCGTCTGCGCTGTGGGCATCCGCAGGGAACGACGGAAGGCACGATTCGAGCACGCCCACGGAGGTCAACAGAAGCTATCCTGGGAACCGCCACTCGCGCACGTTTACGGAGCGCACTGGCGCAGAGGCGGAGTGGATGAGGGGATACGGCAAGTTCATAGATAAATTGTGTTCTGCATCGCAATTCCCATGTATTTCGGAGGAGACTGGAGAACTCGCCAGAGGCCACGCTCCACCTCGATTCGCCGATTCTCCACGGGGGGTCGCCGAAGTGAGCCAGCCGCCGATGATGCCGCCGCACCCCTTGGGCAACGCCTGGCAAACGGAAGGTGGACGCCTTTTGGATTCAGGTAGATCGCGCGGCCTTGGCGGAGACGTTGGCCGGACACGCAGAAACGCGATCGGACCGTCACATGCCAGAGTTCCGGCGCATCTCGCAAATGATTATCCGACTACATGCGCATGGCATGCGGCCTCTGCGCGATGTTTTGGATTATGTCCTGCGGGCTCCTCGCCGACCACTGCGTGAATGCATCGTTGGACGAACGACGATCCTGGTCGAATGGCCCCAGGCTTCCTTCGGATGGCACTAGCAAGCGCAATCTGCGTTCGTGCACCGACGGCGGCCTACGGCGCAACGGCGAAGGCGCCATTGGTCCCGCTGTCTTGCACGCCTCTTGGGGCGGGGACAGCGGCCGGCACTAGCACAGCACGCTGCGGAGAGAAGGTTCGGTTCAAGGGCTCGCATCTGCGTTCGAGGCCGAGGCTTTGGTACTCGAAGCGGGCTTGCGGTGGCTAGTGAGCGCGCTAATACCACCCTGACCTTAGATCACTGACCCTTCGGGCGGGCCATGGCCCACGCTCTGTCGACAGAAGAAAAGAAACGTGTGAGGGTTGCGTCAAATCGGATGCGGGTGTGCCATGGCGACTGCGCCGCTGGGGTTTTCTGTGGAGTTTCCACGGGGCCACGAAGCTTGCGAGGGGCGTGCCGAACCGAGCGCGGGCGCGCCACGCAGATTGTGGCCAAGCTTGCGAGGGGCGCGCCGAAGCTGGCGGCGACGACGGCGGCGACGATCCCACGGCGCGGCGGGCGGCGCCGCGGCGTCGACGCAGCGCGATGCGAGCCTTGCCGCGCCGCCGCGCGCCGCGGGCTCGCACGGCTGCGGAGGCGGCGTCTTAGGCGCGGCAGGCGGACGCGGCCCGCGGCCGCCGCGTGACGCGCAGCGCCCCGCATCGCCACGCGGCCCCGCCCCCGAGCTCGCGGAATGCTGCGCTCGACCCTTTCGGCGGCCGGCGGCCCGTTTTTCTCGGGCGCGCTTTGGTGGGAATGGGCCATGAACGAGGATTCTGCGACGGAGCGGAAATCTGGCGGAAAGCAGGAAGCGTCAGCTGAGCTGCTCGAGGTCGCTGCGGCGGTCGGCACGCCCTCTTGTTATTCTGTCATGCACAGGAAACCGCGGCGGGCGGCGATGAAAACGAGCTGATCATCGGGGCTGCTGCCGAGGCCAAGTCCAGACCATGACTGCCGTCGACGCCTTCGAGGCCGAGCCCGCTGCGCCCCGCAGGCCCCCGACGCCTTGGGCGGCGCGGCGGCGCGCGGAGGGCCCCGGCGCCGAGCCCGACGAGCTCCCCAACGCCTTGCCCTCGCCAGGCGGGGAGATGGCGGAGGACGAGGCCTCCTGTGCGAAGAAGGCTGCTCATGTGCCCAGCGAGCCTCTAAGGCTTTGGATGCTGCAGCGACGCGTGGAGGCTAGCGTCGCGGACGTCGACCGCGACGTCGACCGCGACGTTCGGCGGCCTGGCTGGGACGTTGCGGACGCCGGGGCGGACGGCTTTGCCCCCCCCTGGCGGCGGAGCGCCGCGCTCGACAGGCCTGGAATCGCGAAGCCCTCGACGCGCAGCTTGCTGCGGAGTGCGAGTGGATCGACGGCAGCGCGCCGTCGATGGCCTTGCGGGCCACAGGAGGCCGCTAGGCTTCGGCGCCGCGGCAACACTCGCTGACCTGTCGCGGCCCTGTCTCTCTGCGCAGCAGCGTCTCGTGTCTCTGAGTAATTAGTTGACAAGGCTGGCGGAGGCGACGGGCCCTCTGTGCCATTTTGGCGGAAGTGCGAGTGGAAGCGCATTTGCGCGGCCCTGCGGCAACCCAACAGGGTCGCCCCGCCGCCGCGAGCCGTCGACGCACGCAGCGTGTGCCGCGCATCAGGTGGGAAAAAAGCCCCG